CGGGAGACAGCTCACGGAGCCGGCCTAATATGGTTCCCACGATGCTATGTGGATGAGATTTGGAGACACTCTGCTCCTACTTGAGTCCAATACCCACAGTGATATGAAAAGCAGTGTGCCTATGTTAATCATGAGTTACCGGGCTGTTCACAAGAAAACTCTCGATCACACTCCTGGGATTTTGCTGCTCTGCATCCTGAGATATGATCTACTTTGATTATTGATTCATAAACCTTTAAGCTAATGAAATGCTTGTTGTGCTGTTTGTTATATTAGTTGTAACTCTGGGGATAATATTGATTTGAGATGACAGGCCAACGTGACTCACTCTTCATTACACTATCATTCCCTTCTTCCGCTGTTCTCATTGTGATTTGTGTTGTGGATTGAAAGCAGACATAAATAAATACACTTGTGAGAAAAAAATGTGTTTGCCATGTTTTCAATGGGCTGCTTTTAAATACTAATGTGCTCTTGCAAAACTAGTCTCTCAGAGGTTGTGGGTTAGCAAACTGTCGTTATAGTTGGTGCTGCAAAAGTTACTATGCCAGAGGACAGGATGGTCCCAGAGCCAGCACACCAGCTCAGGACAGCAATGCTTACAACTCTCCTGCTACTATAGCTATCACAACAACAGCAACAAGTAAGTTGAATGTCCGTGGGCAAGTCATTAAACGTTACCTGACACACAGATCATGGCTGGAATGGCTGGAATAGTGTTGTGTGGCTCAGTCTGAGACCCTTTGTTTGTTTCCCATTTACAGAGCCACAGCTGTGTACAAACACCGTAACGGGCAGCTGGTGGACTGTGAGGAGATATTACCTGAATCTGACAAAAAGACTTAGAATTGTATACCCCACCTTTAAGCTTTGGTCAACATAACACGCTAACATACTTTTTAAATTCAAGGACTTAAGAATGCAATTTCTCCACACAAAGCTTATGTTTGTATTTGTTGTCCTATTGTGTCAAATGATTAGAACGCTGAGGGCCAAGGGAGCAAAGAAGCTCCTTTTCTACAAGTACAATAAAGGAAAAATATATACATATCTACAGTATATACACAGTACATATATAATGACTAATTTTTCAAGAAAGCAGCTCTTTCCTCATCATTTGCCGTGTTTTGATGTATAGAACACAAATCCCAAGCCTGCAGAGACTTAGCAAATATTTTCTCTGAGTAATTAAAATAAGCACAGAAATGTTCTGCATAGAGAACAGTGATGTGCTGAATTTAACAAGCACAGTAATAAGTACACTATTCAAGAAAACACAATTAACCATTTACACACAAATGCAAGCACAATCTAGACATGTGTTGTCTGATTTGCTTTTACTCTAATGAATAATATATGGCATGAAACAGTCTTTTAATAATCAGGTAAACCAGACATCTATTTCTCCATCCTGTCCATTCCAAAAAATGATGAGGACCATTAGTATACATGTAATTATGGCTAACCACTGTATTATCCCGGTGATAGAATTTATATGAGCTGTGCTGACAATAAATGCCAAAATACTTAACAGCATCTCTCCCAACAATAGAGGAAATTTGCACTTGACTAAATGCAACCAAAGTTAAACTTTAAGTTTCCCTTATTATCAAGTGAACAAACTTCATTACTGGAATAAATCAAAACACAGTTGCCATAAAACAAGCATGTTTTTGTGAGAGAAAAAGGAGAAAATGTCCAGCGGTAATATGTTAATCAGCAATGAGAGACCTTTTAGCCGGTATGGTTGGCAACATGGATGCATGATGGGTAATTAACTGTTTGCAAACATAGAGGATGTGCACTGTGTACTGCTGCTACCTTCCCTGCTTGAGATGAAACAATGGGGGTGTTCACAGAAAAGTATGTGATTTCTCAAAGTAGTCTGGTGCTCTGTGTGAGGATCTGTTTCTTTGAGTGCTTATGTAGAATTTATTTTACCAGACATTTCTACTGTAGGTGTGAAAACAGTGTACAAGCTGTTAAATCAGTATTACAAAACATTAAGTGAAGGTTGAACTTTGAAATAACATAATTGTATGACAAATTAATATTTAAACATTGACTTGTAAAACATTAAAAATAAGCTTTCCCATGTAGGCTGTGTAGGTAGTACATACTATATATCTATATCTATATCTATATATATATATAGTATGTTAATTTAAATGTCCCTACAATTTCTTTTATTGTTGTATTTTTTCACTTTGAAACCACAGGTTCTACAAGCATAAACATATGTGTGGTGGGATTAAGAGGATTTAAAAGAGAAAGCTGTATTCACTCTGCTTATTCAAACAGTTCTTACTGACTATGTATTGTCTACATATTTAACAATGAAAGAAAAAATGTCCCTAGTATCATTTGTAACCCCCAAAGATACTAAAGATAAAATGTAAAATTATATAAAAAGCTTTATGGCTTACATTTCTTATACAAGCAAAATTTATTGGTACATCTTGTATTAATTTACAAACACATTTTGGGGTTCATTTATCATCATTATGATGTTTTGTTTATACCTTATTTAGAAGTTGCATGAAAAAGGTACAGTCAAAAAGAAATCAAACATATGGATGTAAGAGGCAAAAAATGTTTAGCACTTTAAATCTTTTTTAAACTTCCAGAAAAACATACAGTGTAAGAATTACAACAGAGCTAAGGCAACACAATGAGTTGTAAATTATGAAAGTATCACATATTATTTCAATTAATAGCTTAAATTTGTATAGGCTATGTAAAATTAAATCTGCCACAGTTTCATTGTTGCTGCCTCAAATTTAATGGTGAACAGTTCAAACTAGCTGAGGTCATGGCTTTATCATCAGGGCTGAAGAAGACAAGTGCGAGCTGACGTCTTGTGATCAGAAACTGGTAATGCCTCTGCCTTCCTCCACACTCGAGAGACATGGAAGTGCATGGATGAGACAATCCCCAGTTGTACCAAAACCACATCTGCATATAGTGCAGAGGTGAGCACACACCACCCATAGCAATATAAATAACACCAACAGAAAGCTGTGTGTGCTCCTGCTCCATCATTCAGAGCGGCGGCGGCAATGCAGCCTATCATCATCTTATTAAAGGGTCCTGTAGATTAGAATCACCCGGGCGGCATCAGAGGCAGGTGTCCCTACGGCAGGCATGATAACACGCTGCCAGCCCCCAGTAAACTCTCAGGTACCCGCTGAGGCAATCCGGGGACAGGCCAGCTTGGAGCTCCTCTGCTTTGGTCTGGCCTGTGTGGGCTCAGGTTTGGAGGGCCCTGAGCGGTGGGGTGCCTCTTCTTCCACCGGCTGCCTAAACACAGACACACTGGATGAGAACCAGAGACGGCGATCCCATTCCCTTCCTCCCTGCTCCCTAACACTGCTGGCTGGGCTGCAGCCAGCTCACACAAACACTGCTTTCACCTCATCCAGATAAAGCACATCAGTGATCACTGAGCGGAATAGTCTGCTTTCATGGTGTTGCCTGGTCTAGGTGCATTGGTAGGCAGATTCACAACACTTTGGTGCTACACTGTGCACATAATTTCTAATCACTGCTGTTTGACAACACTGCTGAGAGCAGATACGGAGGAATTACTGTCATAATGTTTGTTTTTATGCCGCTATCAGCATGATGACATGAAACAATATTTTTTTAATCAGCAATTCTATGTCTTCTTTTGATCTTATAGCATTTTTTTTTTGCTTGAAAGGAGCCAGCCATGTTGCAAGAGAGTGTAAGTGTCACCTGGACATATGTATCAGCTCTATTTACTTGCAGCTATACATCAGAAATTCATTGTTGATTTTGTGATTGCTCCATCAAATACCAGCTATGATAGAAACTGCATTTCCTGAGCTGATGAGATAAGGTTACTGAATCACCTGCTGTGCTCATCACTGACATACACACACACACACACACACACACACACACACACACACACACACACACACAAATGCACAATCTCTTGTTCAGCTGGAGAAACCTGCCCCCACCCCCATTGCTTTTATATAAATTTCAGGTGCTTTTTTTTTTTTGCATTTGTTTTGTTATTTTGTGTTGATCCGTAAATTAACAATTTTTTTCTCAGAGGAAATCATTCAGCATTTTACATTTTAGATATTTGTTGTTCCATTAAATAAATATATTAATTGTGAATTAATAGGAACACAGTCTAAATCAAAAATGTCTTATTGATTTCAAAGAATAACTGCTGTGCATGTAGAATGAACAAAAGCTAACAAAAACAAAATGTGGTTTTGTAGACATGTACTGTAAGGGATATCTTACAATTTCATGTGGTCAAATTCTATTTTTTTTATTTACCTACAATACACATGCTCTTACACGTGTCTTTTTTTAGGCTTCATTTCGATAAGAAATAAGACACCGAACTGGGGCATGCAAATCTGCATCAGTTATTTGTGTCCAGTCTGGCTGCTGAGGGAGAAGAGAAAAATAAAAAAACAGCCCAGTCTGCGCTGCCAGTGAGGAATTCAGGTTAGTCCCAGAGGACATCACACCTGTCAAGAAAGCAGGATGCAACAACGCCCTACTCCATCCCAAAAAATAGATCTGAGGAAACATTATCTAATATAATGAAAAATAGATCTAAAGGAACTGACAAAGCAGACGAAATTGGAAAACAAGCTTGGAGTAATAAAGCTTTTATTCTGCTTTGATGGGCCTCTAGTATTTAGTAAAGGGGGGAAAAGTAGGTTATAGAGCCTGAATGTGAAGGAAACTTTAATTTAAGCCTTAATGTTAACTTAATTTGGCCCCAGTGTGACAGACTGGTCGGGAATAGTGGAGTCAAACTGGTTGCAAACAGCCCGAGGAAGTACCTTCTTTTCATTTCCCCCCCTCTCCACCGGGAGACCGCCCATATGTGCGTTTAATCCACATTTGCTAGCAACTCCTATCTTCCTCCTATTTTACCATCCTGCTCCCAAACTGCCTTTTTCCTCCTCACATGCTTTTCACTGCAGTCGTCCGCCGGCTTCCTCCAGCCGCCTCTCTCTCTCTCTCTCTCTCTCTCTTTTTTTCCTCCTATTTATGAAAACGTCACTTCAAGTCCCTCCCTGTTTGAATCTCATTAGTTTCTTGTGTGTTTCTCCCTGTCAATAATCCTGAATCCAGACTCTCTCTATTTCCATCCCTCTCTATCTGTCAATCAGCGCCGCCTTTGAACTGAAAACCACTCCGACCAACTTCAACTCACTCAATCCGAGCGGCTCGGCTCCTTCTCCGGCTTCCTTTTTCTGCCAAGATTCCCTTCTTTTTTAGTTTTGTACCAACCGCCAGAGCTTTGGAAAACGCCAATACAGACCCCAAACTTAAACCCGGACTTTCTAGATCACCGAGATCAAGGGTTTAAAACTTCGTGTTTTGCCCCCCCCCGAAAAAAAAATAATTTTGCACGGGAAAAAATGCCGCAGCTCAACGGCGGTGGAGGGGACGATCTGGGTGCAAACGATGAAATGATTTCCTTCAAAGACGAAGGGGAGCAGGAAGAGAAAATTTCGGAGAACTCCTCGGCAGAAAGGGATTTAGCCGATGTCAAATCTTCTCTTGTAAACGAGTCGGAAACGAATCAAAACAGCTCGTCGGATTCAGAGGTAAGTTGCAGATTAAAAACGGGGATCGATCGTCCCCGGCTCTGTTAAGTTTAGGGGCCTAACATATCTGACATGTTACCGCTGATAGACTTGAAAAGAAAGTTTCATCGCCCGTTGTGTTAACTTTAACGCAATCCCTGTGTTTCATTGCATTTCAAGGCGGAAAGACGGCCTCCGCCTAGATCTGAAACTTTCAGAGACAAAACAAGAGAAAGTTTAGAGGAGGGTGAGTTTCTTCCACTTTATTGTTCCACTCCTGTTTTTCTGCACCATGACATTACATGTGCCTGACGGATCTACTCCGCTTTATTCCTCAAATGCATTTTTTTTTTGTGGGGGAAAGTTTTCAAGGCCACTTTATAAAAAAAGTTTTCTTCTCCCCCCCCCCCGCCATGTTAGCTGCGAAAAGGCAAGATGGAGGGCTGTTCAAGAGCCCACCGTACCCGGGCTATCCATTTATAATGATCCCCGATCTCACAAGCCCCTACCTTCCCAATGGATCACTTTCTCCAACAGCACGCACAGTAAGTTCATTTATTTACAACTGTATGTGTACACACACTCCTCACACACACTCCTCACACACACACACGGACTCCCCCGAGTTAGACATGGAAGGCAGCCGGACACGGAGAGTGTTGTCACCCAGAAGTGCAGCCGATAAAAATGTAGAGCCAAGTTTTCCAACTCTTCATGAAGTGTACAGTACAATGGCATGCATGTCCGCCTGCAGCTCCCCCGCCTGTGTGCTTGTCATGGACAGCAGCTAGCATGCTAACAGTGCTAAGCGCCAGGACTCAATGCAATGAAAAGTGGGTAAATGGCAGGTCGTGTGCACATTCAATTTTTACTTTTATGCTCCCTGGATTTTTACTGTTACAACTTTTAAATGCATGAGAAAAAAATATTAAATGTAATTATTCTTATTACATTGTTGTTATGCAGGGGTGTGCTGTATTTCACGCCACAAATGCACGTTTTCAAACCCACTAAATAATGCACTTGGCTTGTGTTTGCACAGCCTCATCAAACATGCCCTTTTTCTAACACAAGCTGCAGCTGCACGAGCATTCAGACCTTTACACTGACTTTCTGACACGCTGCACGCAGTGTAAAGCAATGTAAAAACCACACAAATAAAATCGATATGCAAATTAGCCTTTTCAAAGTGATTTGCATGTGTCAAAACCTGTAAATGCATCATGCTGAAGGTGCATGCATTAAATTTTGACAGCTTCTCCCCTCCCCCCAAAAAACATTTAACAGTAATGTTTTTCTTGTTGATGTGTGTATATATATATATTTTTAAAATTGTAATTTATTGAATGGAAAGCTATGTTCTGCATGTGCGCCACCTTTGTTTCTAATGAGGAATCCACTGCCTTTAAAAAAAAGCACGTGCCATGTAAACTCATATTTATAAATAAATTCATGTTATTTAGACACAATCAGCTGTGCTATAATTATGCACACTTACTCATTTGCTCAGCACCTCGCTAGTCCCACTGGGCAATGGCAATCCTTAAGCGGCATAATTTTCTTAACCATGGGTGTTTTTTTGCCCCCCTATTTTAAACGGTTGCAATTACAAGTCTTCACTTTAGGACCTGTCATCTCATTTTACAAGGTTAAGGCAAAGACCAGGCATTAGGAAATATGACCCCTCCACACCCCCACCTCCACCACCTTAGCTCTGGCTAACGAAACTGATATTTGTTACCTCAATTTTTTTTGTGTGCGCTGTGCACACCTTGGAAATAAATGCACATCTGACACATAATGCCTTCTTTTGTGTTTGACACAATTTCTGCCTTTGAGTTCAACATGATCACCCAGGCTTACGCAGTTCTCTCTACCTGTTTGTGTGTGTGTGTGTTTTCATAGTTTTAAAGATGGTATCATTCCCGGCATATGCACATATGAGAATTTTGCCATTGTTTCCCTCTTAGTCAGGCTGCCTTGTTAACGCTACCGGCTGGTATGTGGAATTAGTCACTCATTATTCTCATCAGTACTGACAGAAACATGCATTCACAACAACACACTTGATTTGAACTGAGGCACTTCCTTGTTTCAGAGGCAGAGGTTTGTAGTTTTCTTTGTGACTATCACAGTGCTGTGTCCTGTACTAGTCCGTGGAGCGCTCGTTTCATTATGCTTATGCAGCAGTTAGAAAAACAGTAAATTTTGCAGCATGGCTGGAGGATGCTGCGGCGATACAGTGTCCTTTGCTCTTCTAATTCCACCCCATGAATACTATTTTTAGACATAATTCAGAAAAGGAATTGTCTTTTTTTATTTTTTAAATACATGTTCCTTGATTTGTTACCTGTTGTTTAGTTTCCTCTCTGCGCTACTTTCTTGTATACAAGTCATTCTAAAATCTAAAATGCTGTTTATTGAGGAGGTGCTTTATTCGCAAATTAAGAGGCAAGATTTATTACAGCTTAATTCACAGATCTGCCTTAAAAGTGAATGTAGATGAACATGGTTTTTGGCTTGCGGTGATCTTCCTACTGTATTGCCTCGGCCCCCACTGTCTGCAGCGCCCTGTGTGTCCAGCCATTAGAGCTTTGAAGTCAGCGGTCGCTGTAATATAAATGTATTAGACTTAAAGCTGGCATAAATAATTCACCTGGACATTGATTAGCTGTCTTGCTCCCTAACATGACGTGTGAGTCACTGAATATGACTGCTAGTATTATTGGAATGAGACTTTGTCTGTCTTGTCACGGAAGGCTTTGATTCTCGCTGCTTTTCCCTTCATTTTTCTTATTCTGCTCTTCTTCTTGGATTGGGCGATGGTGCGATATTATTTTTAGAATGTGGATTTCAACATCTAGGCCTTTAAAAATCTTTTTTTTAGTATTTGTTATTAATGATTTAAATTGAGGTTTTTGATTTCTGTGGGAAAATTCTCAGGTGTTTCTTAGAGCAAAATTCTGATCAATTTAGATTTAATTTTCTTCTCTCAGCTGGCACTAATCCTGATCTATCAGGACATTTTACCTTGTTTCCATAATCTTTGTTTTAGCACTACTTGAGGGGAGGAAAAAAAATTCCTGAATGTGGCGGATACCATAATTTGTTTGACCTCTGGGAGCCATAATCAGTGAGAATTTGTTTTTCCTACCACCTAAGTCCAAGGAGGCTCACAATTTAGTGTCATTTAGCAATTTGACATGACGTTGTGCCCGGGCTTTAAAAGTCTTCCTATTCTCGTCTCCTCCTCTCCTCTCCCTGCCGTCTCCCTCCTCCCTAAACCTCACACAAAGGCCTGGATCACTGTGTGTGCAGGTCGAATCGGAGAAGTGGCCTGCCCAGTTCACCCCAGTTTTATATCTCCTTTCACTTTCCCCCTGTTCCACTTTGCTCTCTCTATCTCCCTTCCTCTCTCTGTCTACCTTTTGTTTCCTGCCGATGCTAACACAGGTCTTGTGAAAAAAGGCGGCGGGTTAACTCTGGTGCTGTGGGCTAACATCACACCTCAACAGGTCTGGAGACGCAGAGGCTCAGGGAGGGAGAGCGGGATCTGGGCGGCCAGCTCTCCTGCATCGGGGCTGCAGGGCCGTAAATCCACTGGCTTTATTTACTGCCTCTCGGACTTATGAATGTTAAGATATTTGACGCCACCCCTGGCCCCATAATTCTCCAGGCCTGGAGACTTTTGGCGGAGGTTTTGAGTTTCGACATGTAATTACGACGAGTTTAAAAAAGAACGAGAAATTGGGGGGGGGGATGAAAACGCAACACCAAGCATCCACCGCTGTGTTTAGAGTGAAGAAAGAATCTCCCAGAACCCGTGGTGATTCTACTACAAGACGGTGGAAAGGCTTTGTGTGGTAGAAACAATAGCTTTTCTCCCCTTTTCCCTCTTTGTTTCAGTTGTGTTGCCGTGCCAGGATTGTTCATGTTGCTGCAGTTTCACCTTCTTGAAAAATAAAACCTCTTTCATATGGGCTGACTACTTCCTTTTTATCGTTTTTATTCCTAGGAAGAAATAATGAAGGATTTTCTGGTCAGATTATTGTAATGAACATGCAGAAGTGAATGCAACACCACCGCCTTTTGTGCTCATATGCACACATTGCTGTGGCCTTATCTGTTATAATTGACACAGACAGACAGTATCTTTCCTAAACGTGGCAGCAGCATAAGCATAACAATGGTATATCATATGGATTATGTGTGTTCGGCTGCTGTAAATGGATTTTTGGCTGTGACAAGAGGAAAGATAGTTTAATACGGATTTAAGGGATAGGGCCCACACCTTATCAAATTGGCTTTACATGTTAATAGGGCCTAATTGGTGTCCACGGGGGGTTTCATGGCACGGCGTGGCCACATTTTGTGCCTCTAGCCGCAAAATGCACTCTGAATTTAGTTGGAAGGTTGCGCTCCTTTTGTCTTGCAAATCACTTTTGTTTACAAAGTATGGCGGAAGCGGCTCCCGCTCTCTCTATCTCCCTCCCACTACTCCTTTTTGTGCTTCCTCTCTCCCTCTCTGCTGTTTCTCTCATCCTATGCGAGGAGAGGGTAAAGAAAAGGTCCTTATTTTTCTTCGACTCAATAAACAGTCATAAAAAGCACAATCTGCTTTGGATTTGAGGAGTTAAGTTAGAGAAAGGGGAAGGGGGTGGGGGGCTGGGAAGCAAAGTTTGGCACCATTAAACTAAAATTGGGGCCTGCTAGACATTAGCGGTGCACAGCACATTCTCGGAGCTTAATTAGTCCAAACTGTAATTGTTCATGGTCTGCCAATAGGAGTAATGCTCAGGAAAAGTGGAGTTGCACTAAATCGGCCCAGGTTTTTAAAACAATAAATCACTCGCATATTTGTGCCGTGATTCAGATGGAGGCTCGACCTCTCCCATCTCGACATGTGGTAAATTGTAAAGTCAATGAATCGCAGATGTAGGGGTGGCGGGGGTGGTAGTGGGGAGGGACTCAGAAGGAGAGGGAGAGGGAGTACAGTAAGGTTTTGTTGGTGCCTGGTGAATGAATGGAAAAGATTTGTGCAGCAAATATTTACTGAGCAGAGATATATGTTTTTTTTTTCTCTCTCAGCTAGCTGGGTTTAATTGTCTAATGCTGATGATGTTGGCAGGCAGAGCTGTGTGAGAGCTTACGCGCTTGTCGATCTGTCACTCTGCTTGAAACACCACAGAGGCAAAAAAAAAATAAAAAAATCAGTCAGTTTGTGAGTGTGTTTCTAATCAGATTTTTAAACTAGTGCAAAGGGAGTAGAGGTTCCCTGGTGGCAGTGTGAGCTGGGCTTGGGTGTAGCTAACATTCAGCTGCAGTCAAGTCTGGTTTGGGGCTAAACCTTTTTTTAATTAAATCATTGACTTCATTGTTTTTAATGTAATAACAGCTAATCTGATGCCTAATTTTGACTTCAGTGTAACATATTATGCCTGTTACTCATTAAGTCATAGCACAGCCTGATGTTCTTTTTCTTTTTTCTTTTTTTTTAGTTAAAAACAAATTATTCTCAGAATGGATAAATCCATTTCACCTCCTG